AAATTATTAATCGAATCGGGATATGAATCCCTTAACTAAATAACCTCACAAACATGAAAGGTAAGTAGGTAACTGTAACTATTGGAGAATCGAAGTGCAAGCACGTGGTCTATCCCGTAGCGAATAAATAATGCGCCATCGTTTTCCTTTTACCACGCGCTAACCAATGTGCATTTCTCTATGTAACGCGTGGGGGGAGGAATACTAGTATAATAGTACAGAAGCGCAGACTCTGGCAACGAGACCTTTCGCTGTTTTGAACAACTCAATCCCACTCTCAATCGCCACGCTCTTATAACTAAACACAACGATAAAGGACATACAGACCGTACGGAGACAAAAGTGTACTCCACGCTCTAGGAGAGGAGAGTGGGTCCAACAAGTGTTTTGATCATCATGATTATCATCATAGTCACGTGCAGCCTTTGGATTCTTCTCTGTTTTTTACCTCTTCTCCGTAGACCACGCCATGTGAACGGTTTCAGAAAAGGGCATCACTTTTGCATTTAATTTCGAAATTGCCATTTTTGGTTTTTCTTTTTCTTTTTCTTTTTTTTTTTTGGTTTTTTGTTTTTGGTTGTGGAAGAAAAACGGCTAGTCACAACTCACACGGATGGGATTTGATATTCCCAAGGCTAAAAAGACTTATCTAGTTATCTTGCTCTTGTGGTTTTTTTTTTTTTTTTTTTTTTTTTTTTTTTTTATGTTTAGGAACGTGTGGTTCATATATTAAGGTCCTGTTTATTTCAGTGATTCGAGTTTAGAATTTGAATTTTGTTACAGTAAAAAGTTTTCAGAAACAGTCACATCTAACTTTTTTGTTACAATAAAAAACTCTCATACAAAATCACATCTCAACTCGAATTACAAACTCGAATCAGCGAAGTGAACGGGTCCAAATTATGATATTAGAATTATTTTTAATTTACGTGTATTTTTTATGAAAAAAATTATTATAATAAATTATGAATTATGATTCAAATCATAGTATGAATTTTCTTACTAACGTCTTCCTAGTATTTTGCTTGGTTCTATGTGATCTGGCCACGTTTGATAGTGAAACCTATTTTCCATCTTCCTAAAAATTGATGTGTCACAATCTAATCTTCAAGGCATGACTTTGATGCATTAGAAGGGAAAATTGTGGTTTGTGTTTTGCAAGAAAGAAAGATGAGACACCTTTTGAGCAAAGAAATAAAGTGAGATAGCGATAAGCTTGTCTTTTTAATTATATATTTTTTTTATTTTTTTGTCAAGTGATAAGAAAAGTAAATAATTGAGGGGGATTTCCCATAATCATGTGTTGAGGAGTGAGATTATTATACCCTATTAACCTGAGATACATGAAATGACATTCAACAATGGCAACTTGTCAATTTACCTTAGGGAGTGAGAGAATGATTAATTTAATAACTCCGACCTACATGTAGAGAATTTTTACTATTGATATGTCGTTTTTAACCATGGATACGTATTACTATTTTAACTGTTTGATTAAAATTTTAATGACAATTTATGATTATAGTAAATTTGTATTATATAAGCACTTACAGATAATACCGTTAAAATCTTAATCAAACGGTTAAAATAGCAATTCTCACCGATAGTTATAGACATTGGTTTCTCTACAGTCAAATAAGAATCATAAGCGAAAGAATTAGGGTCTTTGATCACGATTAGAATTTGATTTAAGCTATCCTTTATCAAAACGTTATTAATTAATAATCAACATAGAGATTACGATAAACTGCTAAGAATCAAATTAAAAGACGTAAAAAATGAAATGAATTAAGACCAATGATTTATAGCGGTTCACTTTTTAAAGAGCTACGTCCACTTTAGTCAGGAACTCCACTATATATTTTCAAGTTCTTGTGTACAAAGTGATGAGCAGGGGTCTACTAGAAGTAACTGCCCACGTTAGTATCCTCGATGAATCGAGTCATGGAGTCGAGCCCCACATTGGTAGGCGCCGATATTTGTTGTGATCAGAGCTCGACCGAATTGCTCTATTGCCTCGACTAACGAAACGCATGACTTCAGACGGTTGTTCTTCACTAAAGTCGAACCATTGTGCAATAGGGGTCGATCTTACTCTGCTCGATCAGGTCGACCCTAAACAGGCTTGTTGGGCCTATACTTAGTGGATTTGGGCTCATCAAATTAAATCCCAACAATAGTTAAAAAGGACAATCCGTAAAAATTTTCCTACATGAAGAGAATTAATTAAGCAAAACGTGAATCAAATAAGAACTTGAACCTATTAGAATAGCTTAGGGTTCGTTTAGTACATAGATACAGAATTATAATTTTATATCCTGGTTCAGAATCAATGTTTGTTTACAGTGATTTTGAATCATGATTCAGAATTAGTGTTTTGGTTTGGATGATTCTGAATCATGATTCAGAATCTGATGTGGTGTTTTAAACTAGAATCACTCATGATTCAGGATCTGATGTGGTGTTTTAAATTAGAATCACTCATGATTCTAAAACCGTCATCCTCTTAATTCAAGGTGATTCAAACCCCTGATTCTTAATCATAATTTCATAATCATGATTTAAACCAAAATTCATAAATCATGATTCTAATTTCAGAATCATAATTAGAATCATCCTGATTTAGATCTATCTACCAAACGAAGCCTTACATTCGAAGCAAAAATTACTTATAGCGTAGCACATTTTTGGGACGTCTCCTCTATCCTTGTCAAATAAAAAAGATCACTTTTCCTTTTGTTTGCTAACTCCGCAGTCTCTTTTTGCTTTTATAACCCAATAATTGTATTAATTCATTTAAAGTGTACGTGTATAAAATACCGAGGTTGTCCAATTCCTTTAGCAAGACTTTTCTAACTTTTGGCTACAAAGATTCGCAACCTAAAAAGAGCCCCATGCATGCAGAGACGCACAAAAAAACGATTCACCCTAAAGTTATTTTTTTCCCTCCTACATCTAGTGGGGAAAGAGAAAAGGGAGCCAAACAAAACCCTAATTGCTTACTTATGCACTCTTGGGGATAGAAAATTGGATGAAAACAATGATAAAATAACAATAATCTTTTTTTGTTGAACAAACAGGGAAAG